CAAACTAAAAACTAATGGTCAAACTCAATGACCATGATTTTCTCTGGCCAATGTGATTCAAGCTCCCTGTTCACAAATGCTATCCACACCAATGAACACCAGTCAGATGCAATGTTTAGTTTCACAATAAATTTTATTATTGTACTACACATGCCGTTACATCCAATGAGTCTTTTTAGTGGATGTTTTTTCAAGAAAATCCCTTATAAAATCATGTAATTCTTTAAATGACTATAATTAATGGAGAACCCGCTCTACACATACTTTATTATTACTGCCGCCAAGGAGGTTATGCATTCACTGTAGTTTGTCTGCCTTTTAGCAAGATCACACAAAACGAATCATCATAAAATTTACCAGAGTGGTACATAATAATCTAAGAAGAATCACAAAGCTTGTTGCAACAGAATATCGGCCTATTAGCTTGCTTGAAGTTACCAAGCCGATGGTTCACAGGTTGAAAGTTGGGATATAGGTTGTGGGTGCTTTATTGTAGCCACAAAGTTTAGAAGTATTGAGAACACACTTCTGACCAATCTCCATGATGGCATCCTCTCACTGCTTCCATAGATCCTTGATGACTGAATATTCTGTGCCTGGCTGGTATACAGTAGGGGTAATACTGGCGATGATTAACTTACAGAAAAGTTTTCACTAGTACCTGAGACAAATACACCAAATCCTGGAACAAGTTGTTTCTCTCCGCTGCTACCAATAGGCCCTATATAAGTAACCAATGATATTCTTGAATGCACTTTGTTACACTTTTCAGTGTAGGCAGATTGAATACAGCTCCCTCAGAAAATTTGGGCCCAGCACAACCTGAACTGGTGCTAGGGTCACGATCATATCCCGTTTTAAGGAGCACATTTTGCTTCGTTTGTAGACAGGAAGAACTCAAACCCGGATTTTACCACTTGTACCTTGATTCCACCAGCATTTTTCAACACAATTTGAACCATGAATGTTTGTCATAATTTTGTTGAGATTCATCATCAGCTCTTGGCGATGTATCCACTTCCCTCACTCCTCAGCTCAACAGCATATTTCATCTCGAGTGAGACAATCTGAACAAAATATAAGGTGTTGAACAGTGCTGGAATCATAGTACAGGAGGTGAAACTCAGGTTTGGAGCCAGCAACCAGGATAAAATGCTCCGGACACTAACTGTTACGCATGAAGCAAGATGCACTCATGAGAGTGAATATGGCCAAGATCCTGGCATTAGTGTATATATGGTCGTGTTGGACCAAAAACTGTCTGAGGGAGCTGCATTAATTCTACCTGCGCTAAACTGTAGAGTGCCCCTGAGAGTATCATATCTGGTTACTGGCACGTGCAGTGGGGAGCGTAGAGAAACAACTTGTTCCAGGATTTGGTGGTTTTGTCTTATAAGTACTGGTGAAAAAGTTACACCTATCAACCAGCCATTCACAAACTATTTTGTCATCAAGGAGCCACGGAAGCAGTCAGAGGAAACTACCATCCATAGAAATTTGACAGGAGTATGTTCTCAAAACGTTTGCGGTTGGTGGCTGCATGGAAGCCCTCCCCCTAATTTCCTAGCAGAGACAACCTATGTCCGAACTAACTTCAAATGATTTTAAATATTCTGGTGTCATGTCCGAACCAACTTCAAATGATTTTAAATACTGTGATGTCGTTTTAGCATGTTCCCCACAATAAGGTTTGTCTTATTAAACCCTGTGGCATAAGAAGCGAATGGTCACTGCCAGTAAGGTAGAGCACTTGAGGAAATTTGACGTGGGTGAACATGTTGGAGTTGGGTTAATTAAGCATGTAAAGGGATGTGTAATTAAGAGGTCGGGTCCTCTTACCTATTTGGTGCGTGTTGCGGGAGCCCTACGCCATTGTCATGCCGACCATCTGTTGGCTAGTGTTCCTGTCAATGACGTAAGTGTGTATACTCC